TATATTTCCATTTTGATTATTTGATGGGACTGCTGTTGTATACGATTCAAGGAAAGTGATTCTTCCCCTCCCCCCCCCCACACACACAAATTTTAAAAATTCTCGTTGCAAGCTTTTCCCAATTACTATTCATCCATGTTAAATCTGTATTATAGTAGGCACAGGAAACCTTAAGGGTTGCTTGGTTTTCCTTCCTCAACAGGATATAAAGAGTCCATGATGATCAAAACATTAAGTTAAAAAACATGAGATATTAAAGTGAGGAATTCCATTAATTTCACTCGTGTCTTTCCTCACAATTTCTTTCAAAGTCTCACAATCAGGCCCTCATACCATGAATCACTTCACAAATAAGAATGAGGAGGCTATGCATCAGCAGCATCACTAGCATTTGGCTGCAGTATTAACATAAAACTTTGCTGTCATTGCACTGTATACCAAACTTTACGAGCATTGCATGTTATGACAAAGGGTACCCTAGTTTGGAAGAAACTTTAGGTTTTTCATTTTGAAGCCTAGACCTCACGTACCTGCTATTTTACAAGATGCATAAACTCATTTGTTAAGTCATATTTCATGGAAATTTGCTAAAGAATGTTATGAGTTATGAAGGCTATTACATTTTCTTGTACTCAGAGCACATCAGGAAAATGGTCAAATGTGATTTGACTATGTTTTTAGACTATGTGCATATATTTTGCTAGAAATGATGTATTACTGTTGAATTCAGTACAGGCAAAAGTTACAAAAATGTGCATTATTTCCTTAGCAATCTGACTAAATGCAAAACAGTAAAAGAAAAACAATACAGCTAATGCAATATGTAAATCTCTACCACCATCTGGAGGTAAAACTGTGCTATGGCATTAAAAAGGTGTACATTAAATTGAGGTAGTATCAACTTTATTACACTTCAAAGCAGATGATACCTATAGGCTAATGCTATCATGTAGCAATGTTTGAAAAGGTAGCTCTAAGCCTCCATTTTCAGTAGTGCTTCTCATACTTATTCTTTGATGAGTATAAAGAATTAGTTCTTCAAAATTACTAATAAATGAAAGTGTTATGCAGTTTGAAAACTCAACACTATTAAAATTAAATATTTGTAATTCTATGTGCTAGGTATTCCGTTAAATTGACAAACTAGGGTTTTATATATATGCCATTATTGAAGTCCAATAGCTCTGAAGGTTTTGGCATTCATGTGCGGTCAACAGGAATTTTTGCTTTGCTAAATCTGTGGGGGAGGGGGGGAGGGGGGGAGCGGGGACTCTGGTTGTCAGCCCTGGGTGGCTGGGGCTCATGCAGAAGGGCCATGCACACCCAGGAGGCAGGGATAAAGAGGACAGCTGGAGCTCCACCACCTGGGCTCAAGCTCTCCTTCTTCTCTCACCATTCCACTCCCTCACCAGGAGGCAGCCTGGGCTCCAGCTGTCAGCCCCGGGGTGGCAGCAGCAGCAGTACAGAAGTAAGGGTGGCAATGGAGCACTAAGTCTGCTGTTAAAAGTAATGACATATCACTTTTCACATTGCCACACTTACTTCTGTGCTGCTACTGGCTCGGTGCTGCCTTCAGAGCTGGGTGCCCAGCCAGCAGCAGCTGCTCTCTGCTCTACCTTCAGAGCTGGGTGGCGGTAAACAACTATAGACACCAGGAAGGGGGGCCCAATTAAGTAAGTTTGAAAATCACTGATTTAGAGCATCCAGCAGCTGTACACAGTTAATTAAACCATTTCCCCTGTTTAGCAAATTACTAAGATCTCCCTCAACATGTATTTGTCCAGAGAAGTTAAGGAAAACTTAATGAAGATCACAAACATTGGTATGGGGATTAAGGCACAGCTACTGTACCAGAAATACTACTACTATAATCTAGCGAGGTCATATCCGGGGCCTCCAGCCCTGATGATCAACTCCTCCCCCTCAGTGCCTCCTGCATGCCGCGGAACAGCTGCTCAGCAATGTGCAGGAGCCGCTTTTGGGGGGGGGGGGGGAGAAGGGAAGAGAGAAGAGGGGCAGGGAAGAGGAGGGGCAGGGGTGGAGCAGGGGCGGGAAGGAGTGGGGCAGGGCCTTACGGCTAAGTGGAGTTGAGCACCCCAGGGAAAATTTTTAAATCAAAATGGGGGTCCTTAGGTTGCCAAAGTTTGAGAACTGCTGCTCTGGACAAACCATCCTGCATGGATAGCCAAAGCTCCAATCCTAATGAACTTTTGCTCAGCCCTAGTGCCTTTGATTTCAACTGTGCAAGTTCTAGAACTCATTGGGAAATTTTCAACTACATGTTTTTTCGTTAGAAAATGCCAAAATTTAGTACTATAAATTTCAAACAGGCATTCCAAGGTAGACCTAGAACTGGAGGAAGATTTGATAGCAGGTAGGTCTGTATCTGAGTGGTGTCAAGTTTGTGTCTTTATATTACGGCTGTCAATTAATCAGTTAATTCACATGATTAATCATGATTAATTTTTGAGTTAATCGCACTGTTAAACAATAGAACACCAATTTATTAAATATTTTGGATGGTTTTCTACATTTTCATATATATTGTATTGTGTTGTGTTGTAATTGAAACCCAAGTGTATATTTTTATTACAAATATTTGCACTGTAAAAATTATAAACGAAAGAAATAGTATTTTTCAATTCACCTCATACGAGTACTGTAGTGCAATCTTTGTTCTGAAAGTACAACACAGGGGAAAAAACCCTTAACAGCATGTAACCTAGCTGGGTGAGCCATACCCCTCTCCCACAAAAGGTATCCAAGAAGTAAGCAGAATACGTTTGTTTGTTTTTTTAAATAAAAAAGTAGCCATATTTGTATAGCTTATCAAATCAATAAAGTATCACTGCATAGAACTGACAAGGAAAACCCAAGATTTTATTTTCGTGAAAGTAAAGCCCTAAGGAGTCAGTTATATCATATACAGAAGCCAGAAGGCACAGACTACCTATTTAGTCTGGTAAAGTATTCAAAGTTCTAATATGGTATTCTGCATCACATTTATTTCTCAAGATAAGCCATCTGATATTTCTCATTTAGAGAAGCAGTATTATTGTTTTGAGGTGAACAAGAAGTTAAAAACAATGGCAAGAGGATAGGCGTTCCTTTTCTAAGTGGGGATCTGAAGTTTTTTTAAATAAATGTTGATTGACGCTTTTGTAGCAGTACTATCTGACTTATCAGAATGCTTTCTATGACTGCAGATTGAGACTACCCAAAATTGGCATTTTGATTTTCTCTGGCATCTTCATTGTAAAATAGGCTTCTTGTTGCAAAACATTAGTGAATGTTAGTGACTTTCACATTCTGAAAGTACAATATACATACTAAATATTGTTGTTTTGAGTCGTTAGGTTCCACTTTAATGCAAAAGTGTGATTATACATTTACCAGGTATATTTGTACTAGTGTCATTGCCCAGCCTTACAATTCAATGAAAATTTAGCACAATTCATTGCAACATATCTTCAAGAGTATTCTCTCCCTCAAAAGAAGAAATTCAGTCTTAAAATTATATTTTTTAATATTGGTTTTTAAAAAAAAAAAAAAAGAGAGACCACACACACTTTGCCCAGACCACAGAAAACAAATCTGAGTTTCACTATTCTTGCATGTGTTTAGTCTTTAATACATTTTAAGGATTAATAATACATATTAAACTACTGAACATATTCTCCTCCTAACACATGATCATTTCATAGAGTCAGATTATAGAATCATAGGACTGGAAGGGACCTAGAGAGGCCTTCTAGTCCAGTCCCCTGCACTCATGGCAGGACTAAGTATTATCTAGACCAGTGGTTCTCAAAGCCGGTCTGCCGCTTGTTCAGGGAAAGCCCCTGGCGGGCTGGGCCGGTTTGTTTACCTGCCACGTCCACAGGTTCGGCTGATCGCGGCTCCCACTGGCTGTGGTTCACCGCTCCAGGCCAATGGGGGATGCGGGAAGCAGCGCGGGCCGAGGGATGTGCTGGCCACCCTTCCTGCAGCCCCCATTGGCCTGGAGCGGCAAACCGTGGCCAGTGGGAGCCGCGATCGGACAAACCTGCGGTCGCGGCAGGTAAACAAACCGGCCTGGCCCGCCAGGGGCTTTCTCTGAACAAGCGGCAGACCGGTTTTGAGAACCGCTGATCTAGACCATCCCTGACAGGTGTTTGTTTCTTTGGTTTTGAATACTGAGTTCAACACAATGCTAGGATAGTTATTTTCACTAAAACTTTGTGCTAGATAACATTATACATTATTCCAATGAATAAATATTTTATTTAGAAAGAAGGACAGATTGTAGAGATGGGTCCAACACTTTCTATAAAAATTTAAATTTCAAAAGCAACAGAAACCACATTTTAAAATAAGTTTAGAAGTTGATCTAATACGGTTTTCTTGCTTTCATTTTGTTTAGGGTCACCACCCTTTTGCTCATTTACAGAAGTAGATACAGTCCTTAGGCAGTGTCTGAACAGTGAATGGTCTTGCATACCATAGGCATTACAATATAAAAACAAAATTGCACTGAGTTATGTACAGTAGGAAAACTTCACATTACCTTAATTGTAAGAAACCTTGACATACCATGCTACATGCTAAAAAAGTGACAAGAGTAGGGCCCAAAAAAAATCCCTAAGGAACTCATTAATGTCTATCCTATGAATGTGTATTAACAATAGTCCACATTGTGTATTATAGGTCCATACGCCAATTAGCCAAGTCTTAAGCATTTTGTCATTGGGACGGTGATGGGAATGTTAAGCCCACATGCAGAAGCCCCCAAGATTGCATTTTAATAAGCAAACTGCAATTTTAATTTACAAAAAGGGAAAAAGGTCTACAAAAGCTTTGACTGTAGACAGAACTAAGGTTTATCTCAGCATGAGTTTTCAGTTTAGTTATAACCCCCTGAAAATTAGCTTACAATACAATATTTTAGTTAGAAGGTATCAACATATGATCCAGTCACAGTAGAAAATCCTAATTTTAGAAGCAGTTTTAAAAATACTCACTGTAATATCCATATAGTACTGTGTCCTCAATTTGTCTTGTGACATTAGCATCAGCCCACTCCTAGGAAGATTGAAGGGGGGAAAAAATATGTAACTTATTTCACAAAAGTAACACTTTCAATCCATATAACACATTTTTGAAATCCTAAATATTTTCCTATTGTCAAGTGTATGAACTGGGAAGCATGAGATTTTGTTCTTGGTGGCTTACAGGAATTCAATCAATTGAATTCTTACAGCTCTGGAAGAACAATTTGAACAGACTCAGACTTACAATTCTGAATACAAAAAGCATAGACATGGTAAAAAGGCTGTGTGGTTACCATTCTGCATTACGGAGGCATTTATACAGGCCCCTAGTTATTAATATTTGTTTTGATCATTGAGTTACATAATATTCTTGCATCTAAATACCACATATAACAGACAGCACAGAACAACTCTACTCAAAATTAAAGAAAAATATCAATATAAAAAGATACTTATAATCGAAAACTTGATATCAAAGAGCATTTTCATTATATATCTGTCAGGTATCTACCATAGTACACTTTTATGGTCATATTTATATGGTAATGAGTAATTTTGCAGGAGAAACCTATAGACAGGCAGACCAACTGCACTGGCTACTTAACCTCCATCTTAAAGGCAAATGGAAGAAGCAGTGGGGTTTATTATTGTTGAATGTTGAGAAAAATATGCCCAAATATGTGGTAAGTCCTTCATATTTTAAAAACTTTTAAAGTAAGATGCTAAATATAAAAACTAGGTATGAGAACTGACTCAAAATCTGCTTAAGCCATAGTATGCTGACCATGTAGGCAGAGTAGGCTGTCTACCCTACACAGTTAGGTCGATGTAAGGAAGCTTATGTAGCCCTAGTTATGTCAGTGTACACACTACAGCCTTGTCCCACTGATGTAAGTGCCCTACTACACGATGTAACAACTCCACCTTCAAGAGAGGCACTTATGTCGGTGTAGTTAGGGCAGCGGTTCCCAAACTGGGTTTCGCGAACCCCTGGGGGTTCGCAGAACGTTACAGGGGGTTCGCCAGAGAACCTCAGGCATTGGGGGCAGCAAGTGGGACCTGGTTGCAGGGCAGACAGCCCGAGCCCCAGGGAGAGCGGGGGAGCCGGCAGCCCGAACCCCAGCGCACCGGTGGGGCCGGCAGCCCGAACCCCAGGGAGAGCGAACCCCAGTACTCCACACAGGGCTGACAGCCCAAGCCCCGGGGAGAGCGGGGCTGGGCAGTTGGGGGTGGCAGCCCGAGCCCCAGGGGTCAGTGGGACCTGCAGCATGAGCTCAGTGGAGCTCAGTTGACTGGGGCAGTCAACAGGGTCCAGCAGCAGGAGCCCTACAGAGTGCGGAGCCGGCAGCCCAGACCCTGGCGCGGGGCCAGTAGCCTGAGCCCTGTAGTGGGCAGGGTGGCAGCTGAGACCCCAGGCACGCATGTGGCAGCTCGGACCCCTGTCCTTGTCAGACAGGGGAAGTTGTTATGGAGGGCAGAGTGAGCAGGGGCCACGCTGTACATGGGAGGTGGTCCAAGCTAATTTGTCCCTCGCAGGACACCCTCCTAGGGACAGACTTCGTAGCAGAAGAAAAGCTGTTTGCGAGCCAAACGAGCCGGAAGCACGTTGTAGCCCGTGTAGCAGTGTTAAGGTGCCTCAGTAATTGTCATTCTCTGGAGTGCTGTTTTGCTTCAGTGAGACTTGAGTTAATCTTCTCATTTTCCAGTTTGTTGGTTGTTAGCAGTCTCTCTGTGTTGTTATTAGAACTTTTGTACACAAAAGTTCAATGGATAAGTGGCTGAAAAAGGAAAGTGTAAAGACGCAAGAATCAGCTAGCGTTTCCTCAAGTCCACACTGTGGAAAATCTAAGTCTAATGATTATGATGGCCCTGAAAAGTCACTTACACAAAGAAAAGAAAATATGACGATTATATAAAATATGGCTTTACATGCATTGGTGATCAAGAACGTCCACAACCACTGTATGTGATTTGTGATGATGTTCTAGCAAACAGCAGCCTCAAACCTTCTCTACTTCGGCGCCATTTAGAAACTAGGCATCCTGCACACATCAACAAGCCTGTTGATTTTTTCAAGTGAAAATTAGCTGAGAGGAAACGTGACATTACCAGTTTTATATCCAAAGCAAGTACTGATAATGAAAATGCACTTGAAGCATCATACTGCGTGAGCTACCGAGTAGCAAAAGCATCAGAAGCCCATACCATAGCAGAGAGCTTGATTGGTCCACGTATAAAAGAAGTAGTTCATTGCATGCTTGGAGAAAAGGCTGCAGAAAGGATTGACATGGTACCTTTGTCCAATAATACATTGTCACGAAGAATTAATGACATGTCAAATAATGTAGAGACCACAATTGTACAGAGAGTGAAAAATAGTCCATATTATGCTATACAGTTGGATGAATCAACTGATGTAGCTAATCTAGCTATTTTGCTACTGTTTGTAAGTTATGTGAATGAAGGTCTGGTTGAAGACAACTTGTTGTTTTGCCGACCATTGGAGAACGTACAACTGGAGAAGATATCTTCAATCTGACTAATGCATATTTTCCAGAAAAGGAAATAGATTGGTCTCGTTGCCTAGGCATTTGCACTGATGGGGCCACTTCAATGACGGGGAAGCATACTGGATTTGTAGCTCGAACAAAAAAGGTTGCATCAAAAGTCTCTTGGACTCATTGCAGCATCCATTGACAAGCCCTCGCAACAAAACGCATGCCTGGGGAACTGAAGGAAGTGCTGGACAATGCAGTGAAAGTGGTGAATTTCATAAAATCACGGACAACAAATTCCAGAATATTTCACATACTTTGTGAAGAAATGGGTAGTATACACAATTGTCTGTTGACCCATACTGAAGTTAGATGGCTCTCAGGGCAAAATCCTTGTGCGCTTGTTTGAGTTTAGAACGGAAGTCCTAGTTTTTTTCAACAGCCACCCTTTCCAAGAATTAATGACCTAAATTTATCTCTTCAAGGTCTCAATATAACAGTTTTCAATGTGCAAGAACGAGTTGAATCCATGATAAAGAAGTTGCAGTTCTGGGAAAGTTGTTTGGAAAACAATCAAACTGAGTGTTTCAGTAATCTTCATGACTTCCTGCAGAACATAAACTTCAGTTGGATCAGTGCACTAAAACCAATATAACTGCACACCTAAAAGGACTTTGCACAACTTTCAGGGAATACTTTCCAGCTGTGTCAAGCGGGAATGACTGGATTTGCAACCCTTTCGATGATACCACTTTCTCAACACAGATATTGAACAATGAGGAAAAAGAGAAATTGATTGAAATCTCCTGTGATTACGAACTGAAAAGGAGTTTCAGACATCTGTCATTGATCAACTTTTGGCAGAGTTTAAGAAACGAGTACCCCCTTCTGGCAGAAAAAGCTCCTGCAGTTGTTACCATTTTCAACAACATACTTATGCGAGAAAGAGTATTCCTCGTATGCACATCTGAAAACCAAATACAGAAACAGACTTGATGCCGAACCAGACCTGAGACTATCTTTCTCCAGTGGTTCCGGACTTCCAAGAGCTATGCAGAGCAAAGCAAGCGCATCCATCACACTGAGGAAATTTAAACTTAAATCCCTGGAAATATTCATTTTTAGGAGGGGGTTGACGAGATTTCATAATTTAGTGAAAAGGGTTCACGGGCTGCTGAAGTTTGGGAACCACTGAGTTAGGGCGAGGAGGTGTCTGTATTGACATTGCCTTACTTACCTTGGCTGTTGGCTGCCTTGTCAATTTCACAGCTCCATGCTGGAGCCACGAAATGGACAAGAAATCTGGGCAGCTGAAATACTGCTGCTCCAGGCTCCTCACTCCTGGCTGGGCTGCTGCTTGGAGGCTCCTATTCTAGGGATTATACTGCTTTAACTGTACTAGTATAGTCAAATGGTACAATGTGTGTGTTTTGGCAAGCCCTAAAAATTATAACAAGGAGATAGACCTAAGATGTCTAAAACCCACACTTCTGGGAATAAAGATCCTCAATTTCATCAACCCCTGCACAAACAGTCAATGTTCCAGAATTTGAGTTTCAGGCTTGTTTATTAATTTTCAGTTTTCCTCAGTAAGGTTTTATCATTTACAGAGACCTTACTCGTGTTATAGGTTAGTAGTTATAAAAAAAGGGATTAAGACAGTCTGTGTATTAGTCTCCTTAAGCAAGGATCTTCCTGACACCTATTTGTCAAATAGAAACATCTATCCCACATTGTGTACTTCTTATAAATCTTAAAGTTCACAGTAAGTCAAAATAAACTTCACATTAAGTTTATTATCTCACAATTATAACCAAGTTTGGGGCAGGATCCAATTACCAAATGCCAGCCAATGACCCTTTATACTCTTACCCATTCTCCTCCCCAGATGTCAGAGAAGAACCTTTCACACATGCTGCAAAGCTTAACAGATATGGGTTCTGGCAGATCAAATAAGGAGAGCACATTCCTGAGTTAAGTGCTTCTCATGGAGGCAATAAAATGGAGAGTTTAGGGTGGAAAAAATCCTAACATGCCCAACCAATGCTAGAGTAGGAATTTCTAAGCATCATGGCAGAGATAGGATTTTGGGACTGATTTATATAAAGAGAATAAAAAAGTACTTAATTGTGATAGAAAAGTTCTCATGCATCGTTTGCTTTTTTTAAACAAGTATTAAAAATGAATGCACTCCTTTTAATTAATTATGTGCTCTTATGGGAAATGAAGAGTTAACTTAAACATATGGTTACAGTGAAGCACTTCTCTGCTCTCATGAAAGTCTTAAAAGAGGATATGAAAAAGGTCTTATCAAAAGTAATGTAAATGTATGTCAAAAGAAAATATGAAACAAGGTCACAATAGCAAGCACCAAATCAGCCTGGTGCGGATTAGCCACAAACAACTGCAATTTTAGCCATCAGTCAATGGTATTCAAAAATCCTGAAGGAGAGGTAACCAGGAATTAAGATGACAGCAACAGAATCATATGCCCCTGTTAGAAAGATATTCCAGTTTGGCATCTACATTCTACCAGATAATCTCCATATGTAGCAGCTGAGTTCTCTGCTAAATGAGAGCAACAGGGAGGATAGCAGCAACGTGAGATGTACCAATAACAGCAGGAGACAATAACAGAAAGTTTGCTTTGTCAATTTAATTATTTTTAAAATGCAAGTTATGTACAGGAACAAAGGTATATTTCTATAGAGAAGATTGCATGTACAGTACAATGCAAGTTATTAGTAATTAAAAATTGTGTCTATTATTTCCATTTCCTTTAAAATTCCATTGTCCTATGATAAAGTAATACAATCTACCAGTCCCTCTTCTGCTTACAAAGAGGCTTCTGGTGAACTAAGCTTTTTTTTTTTTTTTTTTAAACTAAAAGTTGTACTTGGATTTTAAGAAATTGTCAGTCATTTAACATTCCCCACACCCATCTACTTATCCCATTGTCTATCAATGCCAGAATCTGTTAACTAGTGGTGTTCCACAAGGGTCAGTCCTCCAACCAATCCGATTCAACTTATTTATAAATGATCTGAAGAAAGCGGTAAACAGTGAGGTGGCAAAGTTTGCAGATGATACTAAACTGCTCAAGATAGTTAAGACCAAAGCAGACTGTGACGAACTTCAAAAAGATCTCACAAAACTAAGTGATTGGGCAACAAAATGGCAAATGAAATTTAATGTAGATAAATGTAAAGTAATGCACATTGGAAAAAATAACCCCAACTATACATACAATATGATGGGGGCTAATTTAGCTACAACAAGTCAGGAAAAAGATCTTGGAGTCATCGTGGATAGTTCTCTGAAGATGTCTATGCAGTGTGCAGAGGCGGTCAAAAAAGCAAACAGGAGGTTAGGGATCATTAAAAAGGGGATAGAGAATAAGACTGAGAATATATTATTGCCCTTATATAAATCGATGGTATGCCCACATCTCGAATACTGCAGACAGATGTGGTCTCCTCATCTCAAAAAAGATATACTGGCACTAGAAAAGGTTCAGAAAAGGGCAACTAAAATGATTAGGGGTTTGGAACGGGTCCCATATGAGGAGAGATTAAAGAGACTAGGACTCTTCAGCTTGGAAAAGAGGAGACTAAGGGTGGATATGATAGAGGTATATAAAATCATGAGTGATGTGGAGAAAGTGGATAAGGAAAAGTTATTTACTTATTCCCATAATACAAGAACTAGGGGTCACCAAATGAAATTAATAGGCAGCAGGTTTAAATCAAATACAAGGAAGTTCTTCTTCACGCAGCGCACAGTCAACAGTGGAACTCCTTACCTGAGGAGGTTGTGAAGGCTAGGACTATAACAGTGTTTAAAAGAGAACTGGATAAATTCATGGTGGTTAAGTCCATTAATGGCTATTAGCCAGGATGGGTAAAGAATGGTTTCCCTAGCCTCTGTCTGTCAGAGGATGGAGATGGATGGCAGGAGAGAGATCACTTGATCATTGCCTGTTAGGTCCACTCCCCCGGGGCACCTGGCATTGGCCACTGTCAGTAGACAGGATACTGGGCTAGATGGACCTTTGGTCTGACCCGGTACGGCCGTTCTTATGTTCTTAACTTTCAAGACACAGTGAAAGGTTCATTTATTCATATATACTTGTTCATTAGCCCGTTGGTTTATAAGCCGACAACCCCTCCGCTCCAGATGGATAGGTAAAAATAGCAAATCTGTATGACCCTTTCATAGGCCGACCCTATATTTTCAGGGTTGGCAAACTTTGGATCCTGGCCCATTAGGGTAGAGCCGCTAGCAGGCCTGGGCTCCAGGTAAACAAAACGACAGTGTATTAGATATTCAATTCAAGGATTCCATAGAGTTTAAAATCATCAAATTTTGGTGTAGACCCGTTTATAAGCCGACCCCTGCTCTTTGATGCGTCACTTTTTTACCAAAAATATTTGGCTTATGAATGAGTACATATGGTAGTTGGTATTTTTCTAAACCAAAAATTATGGAAAACTGAGGACATGACATGGGACAGCTTATGAGCTGCTAATTCCAGAGAAAAAGCCAGTTTTTACAATAAAATGATCTTGAAGAGCAACCAAAAGGGTCAGAAACACCTTCAACTGGTTTATGCCAGAATTACTTCAATTATTTTATATGAAAATCTGATTTCCATATAATCAAATCATAATTTCAGATACTATAACTGTATTAAAGCCACATTTTTACATGTTTTGTTCTAGACTTTTGAAGATGAATTGTTTGTTAGAAATAGGATGATGGTACAGAGGCAAGGAAAATCTAAGGAAGTGTTTTTCCTTTTCAAGGTAAGGACTACAAGAACACGTCTGAAGGAAGAAGCAAAGCAGATGAAAACTGTTTTGTCTATTCTTAATTAGAATCCATATGCACAAAGGTGGAAGACTTTTCCCATTGGGAGAACCTTAACTGAAAATGTTCATGTCAGTTTAAAATCTCAACATTAATTATACATTCTTTGTGTGGATAAGTTCTGATTCACCAAAGAAACAGTAGCATGGTTGCAAGTTGTCCACCCTGTAAATGTGTAAAGCATCTGACAACCTTTGAAGTGATTACCCATAACGCCCATATGAATGTATGCAAGAGCATGTGTTCTTTGAGATTAAAAATAAATGGTAGACAAATATGGTAAGGCAGTGTACAAAAGCAATCTTTGCAGCAGGGGGAAATTATTTAAGACAATTAAAACTGGTGATTTAAATCACTAAATCAGCAAGCAGGAAACCATGATTTAAATAACTGATTTTAACCATGTTTTTAATTTGTATTATTTGGTTATTTTCCTAACAACTGGTTGATAACCATTAAAACATGTTGAATTGCTAAATTTGTGCGGCTGTAGTGCCATAAGGAAGATGTTTCTGTTGATGTAGTTAATTCATCTCTCAGAGGCCATAGCTAGGTCAAGAGAAGAATTCTTCCATCAACCTAACCACATCTATACCAAGGGTATGTTCAAACTAACTACGATGCTCAGGGAACAATGTTCTTCACAGCCCTGAGTGAGGCAGCTAAGTCAATCTAATTTAAGTATTTTAAGGCCTTGGACTGAGAGCTCATTTGGACAGATACATCTTGTTCTGTTCTTTGGGTATATTTATAATATTATACAAAAATATAAATAATTATTTTATAGTATGATCTACAGAAAATATTTAGGAGTTTCTCCTCATTTCTATTTATGCAGTGTTAAATGAATAAACCCTCCAGCACCTAAACAAGACTATTCTTGTGTAGGTTATAAAAGTTGGTAATAATATTTTAATGAGAGAACAGTAGGTTTACATTACAAAGTTATGAGGATGAAATCTATTTTAGAAGTAAATGACATTAGTTTGCAATGCTAGTATTCTTCTTCCAAGACAAAAATTCCAACAATGAAATAAGGCATTAAAATATGACAGTTTGATAACTCAGAATGAAGAGATAATGAAAACGGAGAGGGAAGACATAGCAATTTTGGCAACATATATTTTACTGAATGCCAATATCTAAGTAGTTCATACCTTAAATGTGCCATTTTGATTTTTCATATATGAAACTAGAAAAATGTCCACTGGCAGAAGTGCTGATGTGATAAGTGCAATTGCCAATGCAAAAATAGCTGTTATGGTAGAAATTACTTCACTTTCTCGTCGACTCTGGTACTTGCGCACATAAACCCAGCAAAAAGCCAGAATAGCCTGAAATACAAAAGAAAAGATAGATACCATAACGCAGCTCAGCACAAGAATATCAGAAATTTCTATTCTATATAGATACTTAAACTGCTCTCATCACCATAATATCAGAACATCTTCTGGCTGTGCATTAAACGTGACTAACATCTGCTAGGGGTAGGGTTACCACCTTTGAAATGCAAAAAATATGGTACACATACCCCCACAAGACAAGCCCGATGCAACCCCAAGCACAAAGCAACTCAACAACCCCCTTCAACAGCCGCTACTAGTATCTAGAGAGAAAACACATACAAATAAAATTGATAACACCACACATCTCACTCTTGCATGGCTCAAACACCCCTCCTCTCCCCGCCCACACAGTGCACTTGCATGTTGGTGGGCAGACAGCAGCTGGATTTTCAATAGTGTTTTATCTATTATCAGTTAAACTGCATAAGTGGGAACACTGCAGCATCTTTAGCTGGACAGAAAAACCTTTAACATTAGCTATGCCAGTGTCTTGTGATAATAATGCTAATCTTTAGACCCACGCAAAAAAACCCTTACAGATTAAATTATTTTTCTGGCAACTCCATAAAAATACCAGCCAGGCCAGTCAAATGCTAGCCCGAGCCATGGGTAGTTTGTTCTCTCCCCCCCCAAAGGAGGATAGCCTACTATTGCTGCTACCTTTCGCTCCATTTGTTCAAGAGGCAAAGGCCTGTGCTGGGGATCTAAGAACCCAAAACCTGCTGATGACCCAAACTGATGGCCACTATGGTTCCAGTTTCTCTCTCTCTCTCTTTTTAAGTTATGAAATTACACCCAAGATGACCAGCAATAAGACTGCCAAGTCAGGCATTTGAAAGTTAGGACATGCTGGAATTAGGGCTGCTGTGAAAACCTCAGTTCAGTGCTTTAGGGTACAGTCTGTAATTACATGACCACATGCTGCTTTGCCACAGGACCCCTGCACAGCCTGTCTCCGCTGGCTACCCCTAGAGGAACCAGAGACCCCAAGGGGAGGCGTGCAGGAGCGTGGTCGGTAGCCCCAGACCCCAAGGAGAAGGGGATGGAGGGAGAGCTGTTATCCCCTCAGTGGGGGGAGGAAGTGTGAGGGCCACTTAGTTAACCCCAGAGACAGCAAGGAGGGAAGGGCCTGCGGGAGCCCGTTAGCCCGGACACTAGGGGCGTGGTTGAGAAGCACATGCTGCGAGGGTCCATGAGTGGGCTGGGGTGGGAGCGCTCGTTACCCCGGTCACCAAGCACCCGAGGAGGGGGCACCGTGTGGTAACCCGTTCCCGCCAAAGACTGTACGGGAGGCAAGAGCCTGCGGCCTCACAGAGCCTAGGGCGGCCAACCCGGGAAAGGGGAAGAAGCTCCAGTGGAGCCGCGCCGCGCCGCCTCCTCCTACCAGCAGCGAGAGGCCGAAAAGGCACCAGCCCGTGAGCAACTCCGAAGAGGCCGCCGCCATCTTCACTTCCGGCAACAGCAGCAGCACCACCCCCTTCGCCGGGGAGGAGCTATTTAAAGGGGCGGGGCCTGGTTAGTTACTATGGAAACCGCTAAACAACCCACGGCGCACAAACGTATCGTTCCTAGTGGTGCGAGCTGCACGTCATTAAGCCAGCAGCCAATGAAGAGAGGGCGGCGCTCCGGCCGCGCGCTCTTCGGCTAGGGGAGATGGAAAATAGTCTCTCTTTGGGTGTTCCCCGCCGCCGAGACCCACCCCCGGCAGAAGCCCCGGCAGCCTCTCCGACCCCGCTTCGCAGTAGAAGCCGCCGAGCCGGGGAATCCCTCCACCCCCGCCCCGCAGTGGCTCCGTCCCCAGAGACAATGGACGTTCATTTATATCTTCCAACCTGAGCAAATTATTCCTGAGGGCGTTTGGCACCAAAAAAATAAAAATTCTGCAAACAATATTTTAAAATTTTGCAAATTATATTGGTCAAATAAATGTGGAGGCCCCAGCATGGCAGTGGGGAGCACAGGCCACTGGCTGCACAGAGGTGGGAGATCACTGTGCAGCTCCCCCAGGGGACATGAACTCAGCAGTGAGGCTGCACCCAACCGTGACACAGCACAAGGTCCGGGCCTGCCCCAGTTATAATACTCCAGGGTGCTGCCCCTCTGTGCAAAGTGCACCAGGTGTGAGCAGGCAGCCTCAGCAAGGCAGGATCCAAGTGTGGAGGGGCTTATTGTCAGGGGTCAATCCATGTGAGGGTTGAGAGGGTTCTGTGTGGGATAATCTGTGTGCGGGCAGCTCAGTGGAAGATCCAGGTGCGGGGGGAATCTGGATGCACAGGGTTTTGTTGGGGGGTTCTGGGTGCAACGGTAATGGGACTCTGCAGCAGGGTCCAGGTGAAGGTGGTTGGGGCTCAGTGGGGGTGGGGGAGGGGGAGAGGCTCAGCGGGGGGGTCCAGATGCTGTGGGAGTGGGGCACAGTGGGGTGGGGACCAAGGTGCAGCTGGTTGCAGTTCAGTGGGGTGGGGATCTGGGTGCAGGTGGCTTGTCGGGGTGGTCCAGGTATTGGGCTCATCTGGGAGGGGGGTTCTGAGTGCAGGGGGAGGTGAGGTTCAGTGAGCGGGTCTGAGTATGAGGGGGGTCTAGATGCATGGGGATTGAGCAGATGGGGGAGCAGCTCCCTCCCCCTGCAGTTGAGTGATGGGTGCAGGAAGCGGGTGGGGGGAGTTTGCAGAGCTTCCTGCAGCTGGGGAAGAAATCTAGGGGTGGGGCTGACCCAGCCCCAGATACCATGCAAGGGAAAAGAAAGTCCCTTCCTCCCTAGTCCAGCCAGGACTAGGATCTGAGTCTGGTGCAGGATAGGAGCCACCAGTCAGGTCTTCCTCAGGCCCACCGCCTGCCCCACAGTGATTTACCTCTCTGTTGGCTGCCCTGGGCACCCAAAACATACTGCTGGGAATGGTCGCATGACGGCTCTTGTGGCTTTCATTTGCGTCCCCGTCGGAAAGTCATGTTTTCTGCAGGGAAGCAAAGAAATCTGTGGGGGACATAAATTCTGCACATGCACAGTGGCGCAGAATTCCACCAGGAACAGCAAATTGACCAGAGTAGGAGGGAGACAGCATAGCATCTGCACAAGCAGGAGGGGAGAAAAACTTTATCTGGCAATACACTTCAAAGGAATACACTTCAAATGTTCACTGGATTATAAAAGAAAGGGAGAGGATCCCTTACCTATCCTTCACTTAGGGGACATAGGGAACAGCAATTTCTGAGCTTATGAACAGTGGATCCTCTTAGCCTGAAGGTCAGGAGCTGTTGATACTTTCCCATAAGTGACAAACTGTTTTAGGCAAAGATATAGCTTGCTAGAATTAAGTTCTAAGCACTAGAACTTTATATATATGCACACCAGCATCCTAAAGCAGCAGTTCTCAAGTGGGAGGCTCCCAGGTTTCAGGGGTCTGCAGGGCACTGCATGGCTGAAGCCTTGAGCCCCAGCACTCCCCACTGAAGCCTCGAGCCCCGAGCTTGGTGCCCCCGCAGGGCTAAAGCTCGCAGCCCTGGTGCCACCCAGTGGGCCATGGACCCCCAGTTGAGAGCCATTGCTCTAGAGCCCTGCACCAATACAAAAATTTGAATCTCCATCCAATTCACAAGGATGGTAAACAATACAATTGCATCCACGGATGCAGATATCTGCGGATATAAAGCAGATATCTGTGGATTTGCAGGGCTTTACCTACAGACCCCATCATAGTGTATTATTTTTGTTTTGTCTGGCTTTGTCCAGCCTTTTCTATTTATTTTATTCTTGCCTGGTATCACTTAAATCTGTGTTCTTTATTAATACATCTATTCTTGTTTTATTACAAAACCATCTCAGTGTTATTATATTGAAGTAAAGTATGAGCCATCTGCCAAATTAACAGTTAGGTGTGTCCTCTGTCTCTTTGTAGGCAGCAAATTTTATAATTTCTCTGAAGAACTGGGCACTGCAGGGAAAGGTCTCTGGGGAACTTGGGTTCACTGATTGTTACCTGCAAGGCAAAGTTTTGACTGGCAAAGTCTTGAGGAGCTTGTTGGCAAGGCAGACAAACTGGAGTGGTATGGTGCAGACATACAGGTTAACAGCAGCTGAGGCCAAGGAGTAACACAGTGGCCATACAGTTCTAAGTTCCCTGAGGGAAGTGTCACAGATACAAGATGGTTTTACATGGGAGAGTGGAGTAAAGGGGGAAGTACTGAAGGAAGGTTTGGGCCAAAATGAAGGAGGCACCAATCGGATAGGGGGGAAAGATCCAACAGAGAGTTGGTTAGGGAGTGGGTAGAGATGTGATCCTGGAGTGTTTTGGACAGGGAAAAAGTTAAGTGGGGAGGTTTGGACATAGGGAGGGGAGAAATAAAGCAGAAGATGTTGGGCTAGTGGAGTGGGAGAGGGTGTGATTAGGAGCGGAGAAAGAGGTGGTGATTCAGAAAGATTCTGGCATATGGGCAGGGGTCGGAGTGGCTATTGATGCAGTTTTGAACTTCTTGTCATTTTTATATTCGTGCAACTCTTCAATGACTATCAACTGTTAAGCAGGAGTTTACAACTTTTATGCATCTGTATTATACTGTATTGTGTGATAGTCTACATTCCTCAGAGCAGACTTTCTTCTTCTAAACAGCACTGAGCACACTGTTGTCCAATAAATAAATAATAGCAAACAGGAATAGAGTTGGCCCATCTGAAGAAGTACAGTACTAAACTATGCCATTCCTTCCTAATGGTGCAGTCTGTGAAAACCTTGTGGGACTGCCACTAAAACTTACAAGCATCAGACTCCAGTCCTAGCAGAGTATACAGACATCATTTCCATTTCTGGCAGCCCTCTAGCTTTGGGTTGGTGAATTTAGCACTTGAAGCTGCAAGGTATATTTGCGTGTCAATTAGTCCTATTAAACCATTCATTTTAGAAACTTCTGAAAACCCATCGATTCTGCCAAGCTATCTCCAACATTAGTGACTCCTCTGTGCTCACCTTCACAGCACTTGTTCACACTGTTTGCATCATTTTATTGCCAGTGCTTAGAGTCAAGGGAGTTGCACAAGGATGAAGACCCAACCAAACAAAAGGAGAGAGCTGTGGGGTGATGATTCCTGGTGAAGGGGCATATTAATAATAATTTCCACTTGCCTTATCCAGAGATAGGGAGGGCAAATTAAGCAAAGGAGAATGCATAAGAGGAGGAGAAGAGACATAAAACAGGGAAAAAGAGAAGGAAAATAGAGAACTAATGGGTAGTTGAAAAGAAAGGAGCTAGACAACATGAAGAAGACAAAGATAACAGGATAAAGGGAGAAAAGAAATCATGGGTTAAGAAGTACTAGACAAGGTGAAAGAAAAAAAAGAGGCAAAAGAAATAGGATGGTGGAGGGAAAAGAAGAGGAAATTAGCGGGAAAAAATCACCAGACAACAGGTGGAAGAGAAAACAAGAAAAAAGTCAAAATGAAAGAAACAAGATAAGAAGCATTAATTACGCCAATTCATACATTCAGAAGTGTAGGAACTTTTGGGGATAAGAGAGGCTCAAGCACCTGAGAAAGAAGAATGTAATGACACTTTGGTTTCTGCTTTAGAAAAAATGTCCTGGGAAGAGTGCCCTGGACTTAAACCATAAGGAGTCATCTTTGGTCACAAGATGCCAGTGTGTAAGTATCTTCTTCCCATAACTCAAATTCTTTGCCTGAACAAAATAACTAGTAAGAATATCCAGTAACTGATTCCTTTAGACATATATAAAAAGCTGATTGTTGATTTAACATCTCCAAAACATTCACCTCCATACAGCTATAAGTTTTTGTATGTCTGCTAAAAGTACATTAATGTAGTCAATATTAGTAAGGCCTATAACTGAAAATCAAAATTCTGTGATAAACAGTCAGATTCTGCAGCAGGCAACTGTATGTACATCACTGTGGAAAACAAACTAACAAATACATTACAAAGTTGCCACTCACACCCACTTCTGTATCTCAGTTGCTTATCTCATCCCTGTATACTGTTCCTGTTGTAATTCTCCAGCAAGGAAGCACCATTTTTACAAATCTGCTGTTACTCTGCCCTTGCCTACTAGTTTCTGGTTTTGTTGGAGGCAAAGCAGAAACACAGTCCATATGGAGACTAGCAGAGGAGGGAGGGGGTGCGTGGGTGGGTGGGGATGCAGGTATAGTGTTTCCTTGTAGGTTGAAACTGCTAGTGTCCGGCAGCCTGTACATTCTTTCTTCCCCCTCCCAAAGAGGGGGAGTTCCCAGTGCCAGCACATGCTCATTCCTTCCCTAGCACAAAAATTGAGGGGTGACTCAGTGACACATTTTGACAGTTTCTGTGGTGTGGAGATTTTGTGATTAGAGACCTAAGTGGATAGAATCAATGTCTGCATAATCAAGGAGAACAACGATTAATAGGTACTATGGTTATTCAGTTAAGTTTTCAAAAGATTAAAATTATGCTTTCATAAATTATAAAGCCAGAGGGACTATTGTGATC